ATCGATATTGAAGAACTCAAGACTATCGCTGGAAAGTACTCAGAAGTTCTAGGAAATTAGAATTCAACATGAGGATTCAACAGAGACATTGAAACGCTAGTAAATAAGAACTGTAAAGTGGAAACATTAACTCCGACGATTACCTGAGTATTTGCTGGAACTGAGTATCCTCGTGAACAGGAAACTGGCTTGGTATTCCTCCTAGCCCTGAATCTGGTCCATGAACGATGATTTTCTTAGCCGAGGGCACATTCGCAGTGATCATTAGTGCTTGCTGAAAATATGAAAGAATGACGTCATGCACCTACATACATTGGTCAAGCACAAATCTCGTCACAGTAACGCTTGCTGTCGTTCTCCGTTTAAATTCTTAGCAGGAGGCTGCTCAATCAATTCACTGCTTTGGGTTTCAATGGACGGGGTCACCTTCTCAACAGAGTCGGATCAATTCATCACTCTCAACCAAGTTTTCAGTAACCTACTGAAATTTGAGACCATACAGGTCCCCAAGATGTGGGTACATGGGCCAGTCAGTGAGAGGTTGTTCTAGAGATCATCGAGTAGCTACGACCAATTCAAGATGTTTTCAGTCTTCAGCTGGGTGGCCTACCATATATAGGGTCGTAATTGCATTATAAAAGAACCAGTCGGATCGCCCGGCTGACGCCGAGCTCTCCTCCTTCTCTTTAGCTCGGCTTCGCCGAGCTGGCCTGGCTTCGCCAGGCGCGCTCCATAATTTTTAACTTTTTCAACGGTGGGCTGCTTATACGGCGCTGTAGTGATCGAATCGCAACCGATAGAGCAAGGGTTGGGATCGTGTACTACTTAGCACACGCTTCTATTTGCAGCAGGGGTGTGCTCCGCGCCATAATGCCCACACAATACATAAATCTGTATTGCCCCCCGCGCTCGTTATATATAGTAGGATACTTCCGTGTTGTCCCCTATTACATCCTGTGCCCATTGTCCTAATGTAACGCTGAAATCTATCCTTTTGTCCATTCTTTTCTCGGGGTTAGTACCAAAATCTTCATAACCCTCACACGAAAATTCAGCAGCTTGTAAGAGCAGCCTTCGAAGCATCCTACCGTTCTCCACAACTGTAGGGTTAGCGCTTCGAATGGTCCTCTCTCGGGTTGTTGATGGAAAGTCATGGTCATAGTGATAAAGTTAGTTGCTGCAGTTCATGGCAACTGAGTAAACAACCGTCATGCATCTGAACTCCAGTTGCTTTAGCGGCCGTATGATGTCAATAACGATAAAGCCTGCTGTCGATTAACATAAAAGCCTAGGAAGTGAGTCCGTAGTGCGAACTACTGAGAGGCCATACCTGCGATTCATATCAAATTAGCATTGTTGTTGTAAAGGTGTTGCGGATTCCGCATGATGACTTTCAACTCTTATCAGTCACTTCGTGTCACCCGTTCAGTGGGTGTCCACCCCTCTCCCTATACCACTTTTTGAAGCCAAGGTCTCCACAGACCCTGCAAACCCACCTACGAATTTGGTGACTCCTCCGCATCTGAGGTCCCTTATCAAATCTTATCATATGTTATTAGATTCTGTCACCCACCCCGTCCCTCCTGTATACCATCTCGGAACCATGGTCTCAATTCACTGCAGCCGATATTAGGGAAGATTTGGTGACCCTCTCGCCAAAGTCTCCTTATCGACATCTTATCAGATAGTTATCAGTTTCTGGTCACACTACCCAATTATGCTCATTCTTCCCCTATGGCACCCGAATAATCTCGAATCAATGATCCCCGGTGGCTTGCACTGCACTAAGGAATTTGATGACACCCGCGTCTAGGGTCCCTTATCGGATCTTATCAGATGTTATCAGCTCCTGTCAGCCCCACCCTACGGCATATCAGTTCTTGAAATCACGGTCCCGCCTGCGCAGCCTGCTGCATACTCGGCGCAGCTAAACGGATTTCGGGTTCAACACCACCCTGTCCCATTACCGCGAATTTATAATTTGTTATGCAACACGTCCTGTCACCCACCAAAAGTGTTCCCGTCCTGCCGTGTATATCACTTCTTGGAACTGTCATCCTATCTTTTCTGCGACGCTCGCTATGAATTTCGTGACAGACAGACAGACAGACAGACAGACACACACACACACGGACACAGCGGATTATATATAGTAGGATCATGAGCCGAAAAGCAGACCCTTAGCGATTTCCGCGAGGCCGTCTTTCTTAGTAGTCGGCCCTCACTCTCCTGAGCACCTGTCGCAACGTCCAACACGCTCAACAGCAAGTACAGAAGGGCCGCTACGGCCCTTATAGTGGAAGGGTCTGGCACACCATCCCTAAAGTTGTACTCTCTCAACAAGACTCAAGGCTATTCTCGCGCACGAGTTCAGTTTGTACAGGTATGTTTCCATTTTCAGAACGGAAGTAATTGGCTTTAGATGTACACGGAAGAAGACGACTAGTTAGCAGAGGGGCAGTACATCGCCTTCGTAGGGCGATATTGAAGAAGGCATTGGTCGGAGAGGAACTAAGTCAAAGAGGCTGCAGGTCCTTGCTTAGTTCTCCTTCGTTTTTTTGCTTTTTTCTTCCCAGGAGAGTCATTCAAAGGTTTGTAACTGAATGTCGCTATCGACAATATACGATCCCTGGATGGCGCTCAAATGCTGCTGCTATCGTATGGCGAAACATGAGAACTGCCACGGAGAAGAACTACGACTGCGAGCTGCTTGAGGTGTTGTTTGAGGCTTGACAGTTCCGCGAGCGAATCGGGATGATGGATATTTTAAGAGAATCATGTTAGTAAAGTAAAAGGAATTACCAATAATCAGCTTTACATCTAAGTATGGGTGATGCCCATAGTTAGATGTAAAGCTGATTGTTGGTAATTCTGATGATGAGGTTGTCGGTGAGCGGCAGGTGCTGGACAGAACTTTTATATAGGGGTGGTCTTCACCCGAAGGATGACGCTCCAGCATTCAACTAGAGTGCTGACTCGCTCCTCAGGGACCATGAAAATTTAAATTAACCGGGAATTGAGGAACCAGAGTCTTGCCCCTCTTTCCAACTCTGCACTGCTCATTGTCAGATAATTTTCAGAACTAAGTTGAACTAGCAACTGCGTCTGGCTTACATTGCTCTTCCACTATGGCCTTACAGTAACCCATAGGAGGTGAGCTACTAGAGGAGTTCCTGTTTGAAGCATTGATGTACTTGCTCCATCGCTAAAATCTTCAGTCCATATACACCTATACTGTAGTTCGCTGCGGACGGTTGTCAATGCGGCTACGTTTGGCGCGGTGCCAAAATCGTTCTACACTTGTTGAAGCGGGCAAGTGACAATACTGTATCATATCCTTCGTATTACTCGTTTTCTACCACTTTTTGTCGCATGCGCTCTTCAACAAGAAGGCAGAGAACGGCTTGATAGGGTGACACACTCATACTGGCTGACACGCCCAACCGTCCGCAGAGAACTAGAGTGTATGTACCTTCGGAAACTTGAGGATGCAAGAAGATCATTTGGAACTCTTCCAACTCCTTCAGAATACGTTGGCTGTAACAACGGAAACCTTCAAGAAGTAACAATAACTCACATCACATTGCTCTTTCTTCAGCGTTTGTTTTAGATCTTTGAAATAAAGACCATGAACATTCGGTGCGAGAATCCACGTTAACGAGAGTGCCATACCAAGCGCCTTTTCTGAGCCTTCGCATTGAGCTCGCACATAGTGCATAACAAACCCGAACTGCAAGTAGGATATGAGGTGAAGGCCCTGAGAGGAACACGACAAGGCAAAGAAGTTCTGGCTTCAAGCAAAAAAATCGCGACTTACCAAATAATTGAGAAGTGAATAAGCAGCTTGACTAGGCAGCGGATTGAAACGAAGGATCAGTTTGCGCAAAAGTGACATGAGGTACTCCTGAAACACCAGAGAGATTACGGTAGCCGATTGATTAAAGCAATGCCGTGAGCCTAAGTTAGTGTGAGTCATTTATTTAACCGAGTGGGGTGTTAATCGCAGTAGAATCGGCTGGAAACTCACATAACTGGCCGTGGTACGGTACTCATTTGTAAGCGTCTGAAAGAAATGAAACGATAGTGTCAAAAAAGGAAACGGAAAGCGTGGATGCAGAACGTAAGCGATCTTTTTGCGTTAACCAAAACGTGCCGTACAGCCGTAAAACAGTGCAATCCGGGCAGCTTGGGATTTCGCAAGGGTTGCCATGACGTGCAGACATGGGAAGATATTCCAACGGAAAATGGTGATGCCATTCAACGAGTTCAATTCGCATTCAATTATATGTGAAAAGAGTGTAAAAAAACAAGGAAAGCAAGGATAGTTAACAGCAGGAAATAGCTTTACATGCGAGAACGCCATCCTCCTGAACGTGCTTGATTAGCCAAACGGGCAGCATAGACTCACATGCATTGGTACATATGGGAACTCGAACGAGGAAGCCGAATGTTCGAACAACTGAACTTGTTGGAAGCGTTGCGGTCTAACAGAGGACCCATTAATACAACCGAAGGATCGGCATGAGGATCAAAAAGAGGTCAGTGTCCACCAAAAGCGGAAATCTTTTTCGAAATAACATGACAGAGCCTTTTTTGCAGCTGACCACCCATGAACGCATATGTACTATTAGGGGATTTCAAATGGTTTCAGATCGCGAAAGGTACGACAGCAAAAAAAACTTTGGAACATACAACTATGATTCCTTGTGCCAAATTGGTTTTGGCCTACGAACTTGCCAAAGGCACGAAAGAACCTAAATGTTGGGCCTGGGGAAGGCAATGCTCCCGGCTGACGCTCGCTCTAAGCACAAGGGTCCGCACTTTGCCGGTTCGTTTCGCGTAGGTGCCTTCTCTCACTGCTTCATTGTCAGTTCCTTCCAAAGCACTCTTGCCTCCTCCAAACGAAAGTATAGTTTGCGCTGCCTACACATTTTCAAGGCAGCTTTCTCCGGCTGGGGTACGTCAACAGTGGAAAAAGGAAAGAAAAGCGCCCGGAAACACTTTGTAAGCGGGGACCCTTTCCAAAAATTCATCCATGAAGGTCTTGTGTGCATGTAGCCATTGGGCTAGGCCTATAATTGGAAACTTATTTGTGAAATAGGCATTTCGGCCCGACGCGGAGCCACACGCGCGTCCGAGCGCCGGCGGGCGCCCGGGGCGGCGCCTCGTACTCATAGAGGAAAACAAAGCTGCCATGTACTATTTCAAAATTTCGGGCAAAACAATTGAGAAGCGCGCGTGTTTGGCTTGTTCCATGTTGTTCCTCTCAGCTGCTGTACGTGCATGACAAATTCCAAAGATAAGAGATCATTTTTATGAAGTAAACATAAAAAATAGGTTATTTTTCCACTCGGGTCCGCGCAAGTGTAACGTTTCTGTTCGCGGCGGGAGCGGTCTCAAAGTTCAAGATATCTGTAGGATTTCTGAATAATGGAACCCGAGTTGTGAGAAGGCGACATTTTATTCAAAACCCAGCTCCCAAGAAGGGTAGGGCGAACAAAAGTGTCTTGCAAATGGTCGAATAATCGGCGTGCTCGTTCGAATACCCCAGTAAGGGAGTCAGAATCAGATGAAGAGTCATACCTGTCGTTCTCGATTGGTGAGCTTTTCAAGAAAGTGACGAAAGAACAATGAAGGATCTTCGACAATGCACGTCCAGATCACTTTTCGAGAGACGTCTCCGACTAAAAGGTTTCATGAGAAAATATAGAATTTTCGTCGATTAAGTTATAGCACATAAGGATATTCCACTCAAAAGACTGTTGGAGAGTAATGGTTCATCTCGCAGCTAGTAGAGGCGAAATGCCCTATTCCTTTCTCGTTTTTCCTTTACAGCATCTGGTCTATGTACCTATGAGGAGATTGGTCCCCTTCACATTTATTCATGAAGCAGTCCGAGCATAGCTACAAGGATAGCTTCCTTGTGTTGAGTAATAGGTTAAATTTTGAAAGATGAAGATAGCCGTTATAAATAGAAAAGAGCAGAAAACAATAGCCGATTCGGTATAAATCAACCCGCAGCAGGGGTTCTCATTGTTTTATTCATTTTTTTTTATTTCAACTTTTGAAACAAGTACAGTCCTCATCATTGCGGACCGGTGGGGCGTGTCAGCCAGTATGAGTGTGCACACTGTTGAAGCCGTTCTCAGCCTTTTGTTGAAACGCGTATGCGACAAAAAGTGGTAGAAAACGAGTAATACGAAGGATATAATACAGTAATGCACTTGCCCGCTTCAAAAACTGGTGCAGAACGACTTTGCCAAACCGCACCAAACGCAGCCGCACTGCCACGCCCCACCGGTCCGCAATGATGAGGACTGTACTAGGACCCGTATATGCTGTGGAGAAAAATCAAAATCTATGTTTTACTGCTCCAATTTCCTAAGGCCAAGCCAGTTTTCGCCCGCTTTTTTCCCAAAAGCAGATTTATTTGAAAATTGTCTTCCAAGGGTAGTGTAACCCTCTGAACAGATTGATCACATACGTTTTGCGCTATTCGGCCAGCGCCCGCCTTGAGCCTGCTTTGAGCTCGCGGCGCTTAGCGGATTGCCAGAGCAGTTAAGGAAACAGGGCAGAGACATGGAACTAGACCAACGCTATGAAGAGCATTCCATCCCCCCCCCCTCCTCCCTAGCCCACCTCCGGCGCAGTTTGATGACGAGGGCCATTTTTGTTTCCCTAGTACCGGTTTACAAGTCTCACTCTGGCGAAACCTGTGAACTCTTGTGAAGCTGGAGCAAGCTCATCTAGCCATCATGGTAAAACCTGTCAACTCGAGAAGAGGCTGCCTAGATAGGTCGACACGTCGATGGGAAGTAGCGAAAGTGCAAAATGCCCCCTCCCTCCCGTCCTCAAACTGCGCCCCACCTCCTTCCACATTTCACTAGCTTGGCGCGGCAAGGCAAACCTGACATTTCGTGTACACGGGGTCACACCAGGGTAAATAGTGTGCCGAAGCTATTATAGCAAAGCAACATCGGAAAATGGATTTAGACCAACCGGAAACGCCGTTTTTGTCCACCTGTGGATCGTCCAGCATCTCTATAATGAGGGGTATGACGGCCAACAGAGGAGACGGAAATAACGGCTGAGCAACTGGCAACGGATGACGGGCGGGGTGATGAGCAACTTCGGACTCTAAATTCAAAGCCACTTTGAAAGGAACTCCTTAATTTATTGGGGATATAGCACTCTCATCCAACCTTCTCCCTGTTCCTGATGATGAAATAACGCAGGTTCATAGGCGGCTTGTTGAACGATTGCGGAGCACCGTAGCCTGGAACAATGCAGTAATTAAAACTGTGAATGTGTCAAAAGGAACTTCTGTGATAGACAGTATTTGAAACCAACCTGAATAGTTGTCGCTGCTCACACTGCCTTTCTTCTGCATCCCTCACAGCTCGTTTCACCATCTCTTGTTTTTGTTTCCGTCGAGTACGAGTCATCGTCATGATGGTCTGCGACTGAAATGTGGAAAGCTCTCTAACAATCAAGTGATAGGCTTTAAAAAGTTCTATTCGTATTAGGCGCCACTCCAACATAGGTATGCAGCATGCTAACGTTGCGTGTTAGGACGTGCCATGATGTCACAGCGACGTTGGCGATGGGGGGAGGGGGGAGAGGCAATTTTGCACTTCCGCTGCTTCACTAGCTCCGATTTACAAGTCCCACTCTGGTAAGACCTGTGAACACTTGTGAAGCTGTGAGGAAGCTCGTCAAACCATCACTATTTCATTGCTATACAAAAGTTAACAGGTACTGTTCACAAGTGTTGGCAAGTAGTCTCTACAATCGTCGGCTGATAGTATTTCGTGGCTTCACAAGATTTCACAGATCTCCACTGGATGACTCGACACATCGCTGGAAAGCAGCAAAAGTGCAAAACGCCCACCCCCAACGCGTCGCTAAATTGCGCCGAAAAATCACTGCAGTCATACCGGAGCTCTCTCTCTCACTCTCTCTCTCTGAGGAAAAGCTATACACTCACCACCGAGGGTAGTCCTTGTTATGTGCAAGGTGAATGTTTCTGCTGGTGCAGTAGCATGCCACTTCCAAGCCAAAATTGAATTACCAGAAGTGAGAGAGGGCAGACAAGGAGTGATTCGGCTATGGTTAGGCGTGCCGCTGACTTAGCGGCAGCGCGGGAGGAGTATGGAGACAGCGGTCGGAAATCTCGACGCTTCAACCTCGTTTCCGTTCCCTCGTTGTGGAAAGTGGCACGATACGTAAGCTGCGAACCCATTCACCTCACACATGGGAAGGATCAATACCCATGGAGAGCAGTATGTCTCTGTAGATATTGATCCTTGCCATTCTGCTCTTAAGTATTAGCAAAAACCTTCAACATCCTGCACACCCCGAGATTAGTGTACCCCAAAGTCGCTGCGTTCACCAACAGAACCAAAAATAACCGTCGCGTGCTCCTCTTCCTTCAGCGAGAGCTCTTCGATCTTCGTTTTCAGATGCGGCATCCATGGCGGATCCACTACCGGCAATTGACTCTGACCGATTGGAGGTGACGGAAGGGTGAAATCAATGCCGGGAGGTGGTACCTGAATAAACCCGTAATTTATTATTTGAAAGAATTTTACGGCAGCCGAACTGCACGCTGGATATAAAGGAAAAAAATCAGGAGGAATTTCGACGAATAAAAAAATTCAGTCACCTTGAATGTTGCTTGAGCGCCCTCCTCCATTTTGAGCCACACATGGAATCTATTCCTCCACAACGCATAAAACCTGGAATGAGAAGGGTTTGGTCTTGGACAAAAAGTTATAATCAAGGGCCAGTGGGGCCAGTGTAGGCCCCACATGTACAGTGCCCTACGTGGAAGAGAAAAGTGATAATTGATTGCTACACTGGACAAACCTTTGTATGGCTTCAGTTTTTTCGGTGGCATTCTTCGATTCCAGCGATTTTCTCACCACTTTCACCACATCTTCCGGTCGACGAACACAAGCAGCAACCAGCATAGATGCTGGAATTAAAGGAATATACCGGAGCCAGAAAAAGGCCGACAAAGAAAACTCATAAAACAATCCGTTCATCGGCTACTCTAT